CCCTCGATCCTGTGGCCTCCCAGTCTTCCCCTCCGCAATCCTGTCCTTTCCCAGAGCACTAGCGTCTGCTTCCCCCAATCTCTCTTTTCCCTCAGAGCATGCGACTGAAGCTCATCGCCAGCAACAGCACTATGGAACGCAAGTTCAGTCCCTGGATTGGGGGCTCCATCTTGGCCTCACTGGTGAGGGGGATGGGACCTGGTCTAAGGCTGAATGCAGGGAACAGATAGCCCTAGGCAGCCCCCACTGCCCAACGGGCTTTATTTGCTTTTTCCTTCCTTTGTTCATTTATTCAACAAACATTTGGGGTTTTCTAGACCAAGCAGGACAAATGCTCAATAAGACACAAAGAGCAGAGAGACAGGACACGGGAGAGGTGGGCTGGCAGGAGATGATGATGGCTTTGTGTGCAGGGTGAGGCCCCCACTGTGTTTGTGTAGCAGAGGGGAGACACTGAAGTCTTGAGGTCTGGAGGAGCTACGATGATTATGGCAGGAGACTTTGAGGTGTGAGTTGGAGGCGAAGGGGCCTGGAGAGTAGATGGCAATGGGGATGGCATAAGTGCAAAAGGCAAAAAGATAGGGGAGCTCTGGTGGTCTAGTGGCAAGAAGCTGCACTGCAATCCCAGAGGCGCACGGTTCGAATCCACCAGATGCTCTGCCGAGGAAGGAGGGACAATTTCCTCCTGTACCAGTCAGACCTGATTTGACGGTACACATACACACAAATAATAAAGTAAAAATAAAAATTAAAAATTTTTTTTAAAAAAAGGCAAAAAGATAAAGACAGGAGGTTGGCTTTGGGGGCATGGATGGTGAGATCAACCTGGACTTATTGCAAGAATAGAGGTAATAGGTTAAAGCCGGAAGCTAGAGGACCCAACCAGCATTAACAAGAAGAGTGTCCACTGAAGGGGAAAGCTCCAGAGGGCTCGAGAAGTGGGGGCTTAGCTCAGCATTGGGAGCGTGCCAGCCTCACAAAGGCAATTGTGGGCCTTCTCTGTGCCTAAAATGGGCTGATAACCTGACGTAGTCCCACAGTCTTGAGCAGGCTCAGTCTTCAGGATGCGACGAATGAACAGGAGGTCGCCATAAAGTGTGACAACACTGCTTCATGGGAGGGGCAGGAGGTGAGGACCTCATCTAGTTTGGAGGCTCATGGAGGGCCTCCAAAGAGAACTGGCATGTGAGCGGAGCTGGAAAGAGTGGTAACAACTTATGAGACAAGGGGGAAGAGGGTGCTCGGATTGCGGGGAGACGCCAGGCAAGGCCCACAGGCAGTCGTAAGAGAGCCATGGCTCCTCTGGGTTTAGAAAGCTCCCTCCACTGCAGAGGGGAAAGTGGAGTGAAGGGGGTCAGATGGCACGGAGGGAGAGGGTGCTGTGGTCCCCATTCTGATTGGACTGGTTGAAGCCAAAGGTAGATATCGGTAGGTAGAACTGAGAGCTGATCAGATGATACTATGATAGAATGCGGACACTGGACACAACAGGTGAGAGAGGAGGGTATCACGGATGAGGTCAGGAAGCCAGTGCTGTCAACAAGGACACAGGGAATGTTAAAATTGTCCGGTAGCAATATTTTGGAAGTTCTCGTGGCTTAAATGCTTAAGGAGTTGTGTTGACTACCCAGCAACAAGCAGTTCAAATCCACCAGCTTCTCTGAGGGAGAAAGATGGGCAGTCTCCTCCCATGCAATTTATAGCCTCTGACAAGCCCCTGCAGAGTCAGCTATGAGTCAGTTCTGACTCAACAGCAATGAGCTGTTTAAGTAACAATATTTTAAAAGAGGAGAGTTTTTTTTTTTAAATTAAAGTTTTAGGGAGCTCTGGTGGCCTAGTGGCAAGAAGCTGCACTCCAACCCTGAAGACACATGGTTCAAATCCACCAGATGCTCTGCTGGAGAAAGAGGGGCCATCTCCTCCTGTACCAGTCAGATCCAATTTGACGGTACACACATACAAATAATTAAATTAAATTTTAATATATTACTTGATCAAATACATCTAAGATATTATTTCAATGTACAACCAATAAAAAGAACGGAGAGACTTAGCCTTCTTTCCCCTGTATTTGGTCTTCAAAATCTGGTGTATCTTTTATACTCAAGCACTCAGTAGCCAAAGTGCGGCTTCTTGCTGTTGTTGGCACCGTCAAGTTGGAACTGACTCATAGCTGACCCTCTGGCAGGTTTTCAGAGGCAGTAAACCATACAGAAGGAGACTGCCCGCCTTTATTCTGTGGAGCAGCTGGTGGATTTGAACCATGTGCCTTTGGGTTGGCAGCACAACTCCTTAACCTTAGGCCTCCAGAGTTCTCGACAGTGTAGCTAGTAGTCACCACTGAGGAGCACAGATTTCTAGAAGGTGAGACAGATCAAGGCAGCAGCAGGTGTGTGCAGGGCCTGGGAAGGTGGTGGGCTCAGTTGTGTGTGTGCTGAGTTGAGGTTCTGAAAGACATTCAAGGAGATTAAGTGTTTGAGTCTGGGACACAGCACAGAGGATTGGAAAGAACTGGGACGGAGAGAGGTGTTAGTGCAGGAGGTGAAGCAATGGAAACAGATAACATGGGCCAGAGAAGTTTGTTCAGTGGGCAGATAAAAGATATAGAGGCATAAGCTGGGGACACTCAGACCTTAATCTTTAGGCAGAGACAGAAAAACCATCAGAGAAGAGACAGTCTGAGATGTCCAGTGTAGGACACACACTCAAGGGACAAGTTTCCATAGAGGTGGGGAGCCAGAGTGAAACCAGCTTCATCCAGGGTGGCCTCATCATCATGAAGGAAGGATTTTTCTTCAGATAAGTTAGTGAGCACTCATGGTACCATTATTGTTGTTATGCGCCCTCGAGTGGAAACCAGCTCATAGCTGGCCAGACCGCGGGTTTTCAGAGGCAGCACCAATCACATAGGGAGGAGGTTGTCCATCTTTCTCTTTAGGAGCAACTGGTGGATTTGAACTACTTACGTTTGGGTTGGCAGTACAACTCCTCATCACTAAACCACCTGAGCTCGCTGATGATGACATAGGAGATGGGAAACACGGTAGGGGAGGAATGTGGGGGCATGTTGGCTGAGTGAGAGAACAAGAGCTCTGGCACAGGGCTAGCCCAAGGCAAGTAGGGGTCCAGTAAATGTTTGTTGAATGAATAAATTGTTAATTGGATGACACAAAAGAGTATTCTTCCTCTAAATGCAAAGGAGGGGCCTAGAGGATGGGGCAGAAGTTTGGGGAGCTAAACTGGGGCAAAGAGCCCCTCCAGCCCTCAGGTCTTCTGATGGCAGTTTCGTTACCCCCCACCCCCAGGGCACTTTCCAGCAGATGTGGATCTCCAAGCAGGAATACGAGGAGGGCGGGAAGCAGTGTGTGGAGAGGAAGTGCCCCTGAGGGCGGCCCTTCCCAACGGGGCAGAGAGGGAGAGCTGGCGAGGGTCCCCTCAGCGCGAAAGGACGCCTCCGGCCTTCCAGACCCTTCTCCTCGTCCCTTCCCTCTCCTCCTCTTTGATTGAGACGTTTCTGAGTTGGCAAGAGTAAAAATGTTTTGAGAAAAAAAAATAGTTTGACATCCATGAGGGTAGAGGTGTGGGTAGAGGTGTGGAGAGAGGCAGAAGGGGGCCACTGTAACATTCACTGCGGGGCTTCGTAGAGGACACCTGGACACTGGGGAGGAGAGGCGGGAGCAGACGCCAAGGAGCCTCAGTTTCCTCACCTTTCAAAAAAGCTGTGATCCAGCGATAGTCACGCAGGGAGGACCTGGAGGAGCCCCAGAACGAGATGGTCACCGGGAAAGCGGAGTTGGGGTGGAAAGGGGTTCCAGGTCGAGGATGCTGTGGTGTGGGCGGGGCCCAGAGTAGGTCCAGCCTGGAGGGGCGTGGCTGTGGTTGGGGGCGAGGCAGTGGGCGGAGCCTCTGCTCGGACATCTGGACTCTGGAGAGGCTGCGCTGAAAGCTCCCAGGAGCCGCTCAGGTGAGCCGTCGCCACGCTGCTGTTGTTTCTTCCTGGGGCTCGTGGTGGTGACGAGGATAGATGCGGGGACTGAGCTCAAGGGTACTCCCCGGCAACTCAGCCCTGTTCTCTGGACCCGAGGAAGCTTCTTCAGAGCTGCTTGCCGTGGGATCGTTAGTACGAGCTAGGGCACTTGCGCCCCAGGTCTGACGCTGAAGATCAAACTTAGTGGATTGTGCTTGCATGTGCTTTTGGAGCGAAAGTTTGTGGTCGTTCTTGACCCTCACAGAGGGTCTGCAATTCAGAATAAATAGAAACCCGTTGTGTGCGGGGTCCGAGTCATGTCACGAAGAGAGGACACTGCTGAAGAAGTTTAACAGTCACCCCCCTTCTCCCTACACTTTCCACCTCACCCGAGGCCTTGTGGCCCCAATCCGAGACTCTCAGACCTCCAGTCCTGGTCCCTACCTGACCATGCACTTCCACTCATTTTCCCCTTCCTTCCTCAGCAACTAGCCCAAGACACACCATGTAGCCTGATAACCCATGTGGCCTGACCACGTAGTCCAGCTCAAACCATGGGGGGCAGGCACCAGGGCAGGGAGGGCAGCTAATCTGTTACAGGCCCAGGGAGAGGGGACCGCAAGTCAGATGAGGAGGCCCAGATCTTCATGGTGGATCTTCCAGGGGAACGTGGGGGCCTTAGGGAGGGATCCCCAAGGACATTGGTAGGGGCAGAAGCAGCAGAAGGAAGGGGGACATCCATATTTCCACAATCCTCAGCAAACAGCTTCCCTCCCCCACCCTTGACTGGAACTGGGAGGTCAAAGTCTGCCCCAAGGTCAGAAAATTGATTGTTTTGCAGGAAGAGGGCAGGAGTGGGGCTACAGAGGGCCTCCCCTCCTGCTGTGGCCAGGACAGAGGGAGCATATCTGGAAGGCTGGGCTGGGGCTCAGGCTCCCTGTCTGGGCTGATAAGGGGCCTTTCTGGGGCTCCCACAAACGGTTTATCACTGTGGGGGGGAGGCAGCCTGCAAGCCTCAGGAAGGGGTATGAGCATGGAACGACTTTGGGGTCTACTCCAGAGAGCGGTAAGACCTAGTGGGCTCGGAATGCACCTTCAACAGCCTCACCAGGCCCCTTGCCCTCTCCCCCCCAAACCCGAAGCCCCTAGGCTGGGCCCTCTTGGCTCCTGTACTTGCCCCTCCCTTCCAGCTTTTGGCCCTCCCCTCCCGTCTACCTCTCAGGCCTTTCCCCCTACCTCCTGCTGACCTAAACTTGCCAGATTCCTTTTTATCTCCAACCCTCTTCTCTCAATCTCGTGCCCACGCTGCCCACCCCCACAGCAAGAGATGTCCCCTCGAACTTCTCAGACCATCTACAAGCGTGTTGAAGGCACCCAACAGGGGCGCCTGGAAGAAGAGGAAGACAGAGAAGAGGGCTCTGAGTCCCCGGCTCACTTCTGTCCTATGGAGCTGAGGGGTCCCGAGCCCCGGGGCTTTAGACCAAGGCAGAAAACCCTCGGACCTTGGGTGGCAGCAGGACGAAGGGTCACCCCCTACCTGGTGCTGACTGCCCTGTTGATCTTCACTGGTGGTGAGAGCAAAGTGCCTGGGCTGGGGAGATTGCTGGGATGCAGAGGGGACACAAGAAGAATGCCCATCTCGCCACCCACCAGCCTTCCTTCTGGGCTACGTGGCCTTCCGAGGGTCCTGCCAGGCATGTGGAGATGCTGTATTGGTGGTCAACGAAGACGTCAACTATGAGGCAGGCCCTGACTCCCACCATGGTCCCCTGTATTGGAGTGACCTCCAGGCTATGTTCCTGCGGTTCCTGGGGGAGGGGCACCTGGAGCACATCATCAGGTAAGAAGCAACCTGTCCCCTGTCCCTTTCCTGGTTCTCACGTGTCCTCCCTGCCTCTGTTCCAACTGGATCCTCTTCCTCCTCATTGTGGACCCTGATGTCTACGTAGTATTTCAGAATCCTGGAGCTAAGAGGAGAGAGGGCAGTGTGAGAGTGAGGCTCGGACACCCAAAATGGGATGATTTGGGAGATGAGGGAACTGACTGAATAAGAAGAGAGGGGTGCAGCATCTAGACAGGCAACAGAGCTGACCCAGAAGGGCCTTGAACTTGAATTTCCATCTGTGGCAGCTGGGACCCCTAGAGGTTCTGAATAGGGATGTTGTAGGCAGTCAGAAAAGCAAATAAGTGAATGCGTTTGCGGGCAGGGACCAGATCTCCCTGCATCTCTGCCACGGGGTGCCAGCCTGACACGAACTGAACTGAGCGGCCTGCAGTGCACAGCACGAGCAGAGCATGTGTCTTCTATCTGGCTTCACAGTCACCTTTCCCTGCTGGGAAGAAGCTTCCCACAGAGCTCTGGAGAAGAGGTCCAGCCCATCCATAGCCCTTCTTCAGGCCGGGAATAGCATTTCAATGAATGCTCCTGGGTTTTCTCAGCAGATGCATATCCTATAACATGTTAATCATATAAGATACAACAGTTCAACATGAAACCAAGCATGGGGACAACACAGGACCAAATAACATTTATTTCATTCTCCTGTGCATGAGGCCATTATGAACTGGAGGCTGACTTGATGGCAGCTAACAGCATTCTCCTGTCCCGTAGAGTTAGAACTAATTCATAGCTGACCCTCCAGTGGGTTTTCAGAGGCAAAAAGGAGATTGCTCATACTTCTCCCACAGGGCAATTACTTGAACTGTGTGCTTTTGTGTTAGAAGAGCAACTTCTTACCCCTAAGATATCTGAGCTCCCTAACAATAACGTTGTTGTTGTTTTGTTGTTATGTGCCGTTGAGTTGCTTGCGACTCATAGCGACCCTATGTACAACAGCTCTAAACTCTGCTCTGTCCTGTGCCAATTGCATTGTCTCTGATACACCCATCCCGATTACCCCAGTCACTGAAACAATCCACCTCATAGAGGGTCTTCCCCTCTTGCACTGTCCCTCCACCCTACCAAGCATGGTGTCCTTCTCTAAGAACTGGCCTCTCCTTACAACATGTCCAAAATATGTTAGAGCCTCAGAATCCTTGCCTCCAAGGAGCCGCCTGGTTTAACACTCTCCAGGATGAATCTGTTTTCCTAGCAGTCCATGGAACCCTCAATACTCTTCTCCAGCACCACAGCTCAAAGGTATCAATTCTCCTTCTATTCTCCTTAGTCATTATCCAACTCTCTGATGCATAACAAGTGATAGCAAAGACCATGGCCTGTATCAGACTCACCTTAGTCTCCAGAGAGACACCATTGCTCTTCAGTACTTTGAAAAGGTCCCTAACAGCAGATTTTCCCATCACAATATGTAGTAAGTAAAACAAAAAAACAAACCAAAAAAACCCCAAACATCTCTTTTCCAATGCTTGTCCCTCCTATGTCTTCATTTCTTACTGCATTGGACAGGATGTGAGTGGTAACAGTGATAGATGTGCCCTTGTCTATTTCCTCATTTTAGTAAGAAGGATTTTCTATTCTTTTATCATTAAGTATACCTATGTTATAGATGTCATTTAGCTTTAGAATCCAACTAAGCACATGATTCAAATCCATCAGCTGCTCTGCGGGAGAAAGGTAATTTCCCGTGTGATTTATTGCCTCTGAATACCTGCTGGAGGGTCAACTATCCGTTGGTTCTGACTCAACGGTGCATAACAACAACAACGACATGCTGCAGATGTCCGTTAACTTATTAATCAAACTAAGGTTGTTTTGTTCTATTAGTAGCTGAGATTTTGGGGGAAAAATTATGAAGGAGGAACAGATATAGAATTTAGTTTTAAATGTTTTGTATCGAGGTAACTATATGCATTTTCTTCTTTAATGTTTATGTAGTAATTTGCTTTAGTAGATTTCCCTGCCATCAGTGCTAATCTTGATCAAGGCACATCACTTCTTTTAATACACTGCAGGTCCCGGAGCATTAAAAAAAAAAAAAAGGCAAAAAACCTTAAACGTCCAATACCAAGATCCAAAACTTCCTGTTTCTTTCAGCAACACTTGAGGATCTGGGTACAGGCTGAGCTTGTGGATGGTTTGGCAAGTCTAGGGGGAGGAAGGGAGACAGCAGTGAGTGAGCTGAGAGCTATGAACCACCTTGACTAGATGGGGAAAGGAGGGAGCTGATACACTTGTCAAATCTGCCTAGCTTGATGCAACTGAAGAGCAGATAAAATGAGGATAAGGGAGGAATTGGTTACGAAAAGGTCTAGTCAGAGAGTGACATTCTCGAGTCCTTAAGATTTATAACTGAGAAGCTCTGATGGCCTAGGGGCAAGAAGCTGCACTGTAATCCCAAAGATGTGTGGTTTGAATCCACCAGATGCTCAGCTGGAGAAGGAGGGGCAATCTCCTCCTCTCCTCCTGTGCCAGTCGGATTTGATTTGATGGCACACATGTGCTCGCACACACACACATTATATTTGTTTTACTGTGCCTTGCTTATTTTAGAATCGCTAGCACCAACCACAAGGGTGCTCTGGTGACCTAGTGGGTAAGGAGTTGTGCTGCCACCCTAAAGGAAGGCAGTTCAAACCCACAGGAGCAAGATTCTACTCCTTCTGTGCACTTTATATCTGAAAACCCACTTGCTATGCATTGGTTCTGCTTTGATGGCACATAACAATAACAACAATCACAGGAAGCTGTGTAGACGTAGTCTATAGGGAGTATGCTACCCAAAGATGGTGCTTCTCTGGCTTACAGTTCTAATCCACCAGCAGCTCCAAGGGAGAAAATGGGCAAACTGCTCCCCTGTGATTTGCAAAGCTTTGGAAATCCAGTGGAGGGTCAGTTATGTGTCAGTGCCAACTTGACAGCAATGTTTTAGCGAGAGTATCAACCACAGTGCCTGGCAATCAATAGATGCTCAGGAAATTATCAATATATAATTATTTCAGAGATGGACTTGCAGGTAACCACACAATCCAGCGTGTACCCAGGAAAGAGGGTGGCTGGAGGAGAGGGTACAATTCGGTGCTGATGAGATTATTCATTCATTTATTCAACCAGTCTTTTTGCGTGCCTACTATGTGGCCGGTATTAGGTAGTGATATGGCAAAAAGCAAAGTAGGGCTTGCCCTCATGGACACACCATTGCAGGGAATTACCATTAAACAGATAATTGCATTAATGATGGCATAATTATCACTGGGATCTTTGCTTTGGGAGTGAAGGGTGTGAGGAATGACTCGTTGGGAACCTGATTTAGATTAGGCATCAGGGAGGACTCTTCCTAGAGGAAGTGATAAGCTACAACCTGAAGAGTAAGTAGTTTTCCTGGCAAAGAAAATTAAACCAAAACACTACTATTGATTTCAATGCATAGCAACCCCTTAAGACAGAGTCGAACTCGTGGCCTAGTGGTAAAGAACCGTGCTGCCAGCCCACAGGCACACGGTTTGAATCCACCAGCTGCTCTGCAAGAGAAAGATGGGCAGTTCACTCCAACCCCACCACCACACAGACATAAACACACACACACACACACACACACACACACACACACACACACACAGAGAACCTCAAAGTAGTGCATTTCCAGGAAAACATAGTGGCTGAATCTACTGATTATTTCTAGGTTAAAGAATTTTTCATCTAGTCAGTTACTCCTTTTTGACCAAGAATAAGAGAATAAAGTGAGGGCAAAAATTATAATTGTTGCAGTTTTGTATGCTCACTGTACTCTGCGAGCAACATATGTTGTTATATGCGGTCAAGTCCACTGTGCTCACAGCAACCCTACAAACAACGGATCTGGGCCTTGTCCCATCTTATGCCATCTTCACCATCTCTGATATACTTGAGCCCATAGTTATAGTCAGTCCATCATGTCGAAGGTCTTCCTGTGTGTGTAACAAAACCATTGCTTCTTTAACTACTTTAAGTGTGTGATTCAGTGACATTAATTACAGTCACAGTGTTGCACAACCGTGACCATTATCTGTTTCCAGAAGTTTTTCATCACCCCAAACAGAAACTCTGTACCATCTTGGGCAATAACTCCCCTTTCCAGCCTCTTCCCCACCCCTGGAAACCACTAATAGATTTTTGTCTCCATGGATTTGTCTGTTCTAGATATTTCATATAAGTGAGACTGTGCTACTTTGTCCTTTAGGGACCGAATGATTGCAGTCAGCATAATATTTTCGTGGTTACTCCAGCTTGTAGCATGTATCAACTTCATTTCTCTTTGAGGAATGATATGAAATTGTGTACAAATCACATTTTGTTTATCTAGTCATCTGGGAAACAATTAGGCTGTTTCCACATTTTGGTGATTGTAAATTAAGATGCAGTGAACATTGAGGTACTAGTACCTGAGTTGTTGCTTTCAAGCAAAGGAGCAGACTTCCTGGGTCATACATTCTGTCTTTATCTTTTTTTTCCCTCTCTCTTTTTATTTATTTCTTTTTAAATAAAACTTCTTTTAATTGTGATTGTGTGTGTGTGTGTGTGTGTGTGTGTGTGTGTGTGTACCAACAAATCAGATCTGACTGGTACAGGAGGAGATTGTCCCTCCTTCTCCAGCAGAGCTTCTGGTGGATTCGAACCGCTCACCTCTGGAACTGCAGTGCAGCTTCTTGCCACTAGGCTACCAGAGCTCTTAATTGTGATTTTTTTTTTAACAAATGTTTACATAGAAGTTATTGTCATTCACTCACTGTTGCACTTCTCCCTGCCCAGTTCACTTTTTAAAAAAAGATAGTCAGTCACTGTTGCACAATTACCTACCTCCCTGCACTCCCAGTCCTCTTTGCGATGATATACCTCTTATTCTGGGCTGTTGTACATATCATGTCTAATCATATATTCATTTTATATCTTTATCTTATTGAGAT